CAAACAAACTTTCATGGGAACACCCCGATCTGGACTCAGTCGGCTCCTCATGACTCACCCGATGCCTCAGTAACCCGCTGCCGATCACCCAATTCCTAAACTCACCCCGGTGCGTAAAGCACTCGCGGAGCCTAGCCCACCTGGGGCCCGAAACTCACCAAATTGTCAGACCTCGCCCGCTGTGCCTAACTCAACCCATGCCCCTAAGTCACCTGGTACACACAGCTCACCCAGTACGCCTGACTCACAAGGTGCCGAACTCATCGGGTACCGAAATAACTCAATGCCGAAATAACTCATGTGAGTTTCAAGGAGTCTCAGCTACAGCCTCGAGGCTGAGCCTCAGCCTCTGGGGGGGTTGCCGGGGTGGCTCTGCCGGGGAAGGGGGGGTGGGGGGGGGGGGGTGCGAGTTCCCGGCGGATGCGTTTTTTGACACCCCTCACAAGGATCGTGGCCTCCGAGGGGGGTCCGAACTCGAGTACCACCCCTCCCGCACCAAGAGGCTCCGAGGAGGCCTCCAAGAGGCCCCAAGGGGCGCAGAAGAGGCCCCCAAGAAGCCCCAAGAGGCTCCCAAGAGACCCCCAAGAGGCCCAAGAGGCCCCCAAGAAGCCCCAAGAGGCGCCCAAGAGGCCCCCAGAAGTCCCAGCCAACCACGAGATCCCAACCAGCATCCATGAGGCCTCTGACCCACCACCCACGCACGGTGGCGGGATAGGCCGACGGCCACTGGATCCGCCGCCCCCTGCTTGCAGGGGTGCACGGCGTGCTGGATGTTTCAGGTTTTGGTTTTGGTTCTTTTTCTAAAAGAACTCCCCAGTGGGCTTCGGCCCGTCCCGCCGGCCACCCGTAATTTTCCCAAAATCCGTCTGTCAATGCCTTTGTTGCCCCAACTTGGCCCAAGATGGCCTCCAAGACGGCCAAGATGGCCCAAGATGGCCTCCAAGATGCCTCCCAGACGGCCAAGATGGCCTCCAAGACGGGTAAGATGGCTCCAAGATGCCTCCAAGACGGCCCAAGATGCCCTCCAAGACGGCCAAGATGGCCCCAAGATGCCTCCAAGATGGCCCAAGAGGCCTCCAAGACGTTCTCCAGGAGAGCCCGAAGAGGCCAAAATCATTGGTTTTCCTTAGGTTTTTGAAGGTTTTTTGCGTTTTCTTCTTTTCGGCCTTCCGACGGCCCAAGAGGCCCCCAAGATCGCCCAAGAGGCCTCCAAGAAGGCCCTATGACGGCCCAAGGGCCCCCCAAGACGGCCCCAAGAGCGCCCCAAGACGGCCCAAGAGGCCTCCAAGACGCCCAACATGGCCTCCAAGACGGCCCTGAAGCGCCCCAAGAGGGCCCCAAGACGGCCCAGAGAGGCCCCCAAGACGGCTCCAGACGGCGTCAGACGGACCAGGAACGCCCTAAGACGGCCAAAGAGACCCCCAGGAAGCCCCCAAAGGCCCCCAAGAGGCCCAAGGAGGCCCCCAAGATGCCTCCAAGAGGCCTCGAAGAGGCCCCCAAGAAGCCCCCAACAGACCCCAAGGGTGCCCCAAGGTACTCCTAACAACCCTCATCCTCCTACTCTATTTCTTCCTCTTCCTCTTCCTGTTCATAATCCTTCTCTCCCATGTGTTCCCCGAAAGCTTTGCAAACCGACTCGGGGAACTCATGGTCCGATAGCTTGGCCAAGCTCTAGTCCAACTTTCGGCCACATCGGCGTTTCCAAAAAGGCAGGGGGCGGCGGTGATTCGCCGTAGGCGTCTTCGATAAATGCTGAGTGAGAGGAGGGGAGGGAAAAAGAGAGGAGGGACGAGGGCGAAGAAGGATCACATCAGTCGGAGCGAAAGGGATCGGCGGCACTGGCCGAAAGCCACTACAATAACTCAATGCCGAAATAACTCAATGCCTAATTCACCCGGTGCCTAACTCTTCCAATGCCTAATTCATCCGGTGCCTAACTCATCAATTGCCTATCTCATCTGGTGCCTCATTCATCCGGTGGCTCAATCATCCGGTGCCTAATTAATCTGGTGCCCAACTCATTCCGTGCCCAACTCATCCAGTGCCTAACTCTCATCTGGTGCCCAATTCATCCGGTGCCTAACTCACCTGGCGAGCTTGACTCGCCTGGTGCCTGCCTCATCTGGAGGTCCCAATTCATCCGCAGCAGCCCGCAGCATCACTCGGCTGACGCCTCACTCACCCAACGCCTAGCTCGCCCAAGGCCTGACGCACCCAAAATCTACCTAATCGGGTGACTAACTCATCTGGCTAACTAACTCATCTGGGCTTACTCGCCAAAATAATAAATCATCCCGTCTAACTCATCCCGGCGCGATTCACCCGGGCCGCGGACCGGATGGGCCGGCTGGGATGAATGGCCATGGGATGAATCAGCCTGTCTCCGCGAGGAGGAGGAGGACCATCTGCGAAATCTGCATGGAGGGCCTGCGCGTTTTGCGCCAATCACGCGACAGCTCCGAGCGAGGCATTACCCTCACGTGCTGTCGCCTGGGCCGAAGCGCTCTTGGGGGCAGGATCAGCCGGCATCGCATCTGGAGGTCCGGGTCGGATGGGAACGCGCAGGAAAACGGGCAAACGCAGACATCGAGCCGCGTCGGATGGATAGAATATTGGAGTCGAATCGGACGAAGCCGCTGCTCAATCGGACGACCCACGGCTGGCGTGGCGGCGCGCATTCGCCGTCCGCGGCCCAGGCTGCTCGACCTCGGGCGGACAGGGCGGCGGGAGCCGGTGCTCCCCTGGCCAGGGCACACGGCGAGGGCCCGACCGCGCCCCCCACCGCGCTTCCCACCACGCCCGCGCCGCACCTCTATCAAAATAGTGCCAATCATGCGAATCACATCTGCATGAGCATCGGCTTTCGGAGGTCGGCGCGGAGTTCTTGGGTCGGTGCTGGAGTCCACCCGCCCCGACTGTTTTCTCTCAAGCGCGAGACCTTGCGCCCATTTCGGCCAGTGGGGGCCGTTTCCAGGCCCTGGGGTAACCAAGAGTGGGTCTGGGAAGAGAGCTGCCCTGGGGGAAGGGTTCTAAAGGTTTTCGTTGACCGAGAAAGGGGTCCAGCTGAAAGGGGGTGGTGCAATAGGGTTGGGGCAATTATTTCTGAATGTGTTGCGTCAGAGAAATGTATTGCACTGTGTTGCACTTAACGTGTTGCACGCGAAAACACAGCAATACATTTGCGCACCAGAATGTATTGCACGCCCCAAATCTATTGCAACCCGGCAAATATGTTGCACCAGATCTATTGCACCACCCCCTCGTCGCTGGACCCCCTTCTGGGTCAATCAGAAAGGTCTGGCGGATTAATAAATCACATCGCTGGATGTCAGGGTTCCGAGGGGACAAAGAGATCACGGAGGGTCTTCGTCATCTTGGGCCTCGGAGGCGTTCGTCTGGCCCCGAGACCGCCACAACGCCTCAGGATGAAAAGCCGGACATGGGGAAAGGGTCGGGACTACCAGGGGACCCTGCATTGAAAAGATCAGGACGTCGGACATCTGGGGATAACCTTGAATCGCATAGCTGACTTCGCGCCCTCGCGAATCTCCTGCGAAGAGGGTCGGCTCTCTGCCACAAGTCTCTGCCCCAGGCGCGATCGACCCTAGCGGATCCAGCCGTGGCGACGAGGACCCTCCACGGGAGGCCCCAGAAAGGTGAGAACAATTTACCAGCCTGGAACATATCCCTATCCCTAAGCTGGGCATCGCCTCATCACAATGCCAATCTTAGGGATTCCCTTATTTTCTGAGGGCGCATCCCTAAGATTGTCATCGCCTTTTGGCGTGTCAATCTTAGGCATAGGGATACGTTCGAGGCTGGTAAACAATGGAGAGGCATCGGTAGCCGTCTCATGCCATCAACCGATACGATTGTGGATGCCACGACAACGGACACCCTAACAGTCCTATCATCGAATGAAACATGTGTTCAACATGTCGGAAAATGTACTGAAAATGATTGAAACATTTTTTTTGTGTTTTATTTGTTCGGGAGCGGCCAAGAGGGGGGTGTCCAAGAGGGGGGGTGCAAATCATGACCGGCGGCATGTGCGCGGCCCAGCGGGGGGGCCAGGGACGTAATGAAACAAGAAGAGGCGCCATGACATCTGGGGAAATACCATGGCCCCCGCCATGATAGCCACCCCCACCCCTAGTCATCACCCCCCTCCTTTCCGCCCCCGATTTTTATATCAAGAACAGTTTCAACACCTTTTATAGACATCTGGACATTCTTTGGCAACATCATGCTTCCTCTCCGCTGATCGGTCCTCCACCACCGATACGATGCCTGCAGTCCGCGGCCCCAGAGCCCCGACCGCTTCCCTGGGGATGGCTTCGCGCCCAGGGGCTACGTGGCGCTGCTCCCCGAGACCGCAAGCGGCCCCTGGAGGCCGACATCGACAAGACACCACTGGCTGCAAACAAAAAATTACACCAAAGAGAAACCCCAATCAAGAGATGGCTTAGTCTTCGCTGAGGAGATCGACCGGGGTACCGGGAGCCCAGGAACCCAAAAAATCCACCGAAACCGGCCCGGAACCAATCACTGGGAACCCGGGAACCCAGCCTGCCACCAAACTCGCGGCGGGGGCTTCCGCCAAAGCTTTCAACTTCCGCATGCGGACCCCTTCCGTGCACGCACTGATTGGGGAACAGATCGTCGGAGATCCGGGCAAGCTGCTCCGAGGACCTCGTCCTGAGCCTTGAGGCGCGTCCTGCCCAACCTGCCAAAGTGAAGGGGCCCCAGGACACACAAATAAATACACACAAATAAAAAGATTCCCCATATTTTCCAATATTTTCTGGGTTTTTGTCTTCACCCCCACTTCCCATATTCTTGCATATTTTCCAGGGAGTCGACGATTAATTGTGTCTCTGTGTTTTTTCCCCTCCCGACAAAGATACTCCAACCGTGCCGACGAGGGCCCTACAGGACGAGCAGCGGCATCGGAACCTTTTCCTCCCCTGAGCGCGTGTTCGTGCTCTTCTCCCCCGAGCCTTGGGCGCCACCCCGTGCCGGTTGCAGATGTCGTCCACGACGCGGTGCACGCCTTCCTCATCAGAGAGACGAAACAACATACTAAACATCAGAGTGAGGGGGCCGAACGGTCATTCACTGTTCCTTGGTGCGTGGCTGAGAAGAGACTCCGCAGCGCGGATTCCGCTTGTTATTGTTGCTGCTGTTGTTTAGCTCTCATCTCTGAATGATAAATATTGTTGATCCCCCCCTCCGGTAATCATTGCATTTTCGATTGGCGTGCCCCCTTTGGGGCTCGCACCCTGTATTTACTAGGGGAAGCTTGGTGTCACCAAACTGCGTTGTTGGGCCCCGAACTACAACAACAACAACAACAACACCACCAACAACAACAACAACAACAACAACAACAATCATTTTACCCGAACGGTCAGTGTTCTCACCAGTGCCAGGGTTTTCATGCGACGCCAGCCAATACCCCCACTTCGTGGGGGGGCATTACAAGCTCTACCAAATATCCAAACGACTCTTCGCGACCACCCAAACCCAGCTTCCCGCCCTATGACGTTGGACACACTTCACTTCGTGGCCTGCGGACGACCGTGGCTACTACACTGGCGTGGAGTACACACCCACAGAAGTTGTTAAGCCTACGTTCGTACACCCACAGAAGTTGTTAAGCCTTGTTAACCCACAGAAGTTGTTAAGCCTTCCACAGAACATCTGTTGCATATGATGCATATGGTACATGATACACATGATACACACGATACGTACTCACAAGATAGTTGATCACATCTGGTTTTTGGAGATTTCGGCGTGCGCGCGCGAAGAAAAAACGAATCTGTCCCGCATGGTATTATTTGACAGGGATGATGGCCCTGGCAGGTGCGCAACCGTTGTCGCAGAAGTTCGAAAAAAGTTGCTCGCAAAAGCCCGTTTGACAGAAATGTTTAAAAAGTGTTGGGTTTCCTACGAATCCGCAAGAGCGCGCGGGATGAGATTTTGACATTTTTTTGTTGAAAAACCATTGGTTTTTTGATGTTTTTATGTTAAATCGCTCCGAACACTAAGCTTTTGGAAGGATTTCGTCTTGCGCGCGCGAATGTCCACTTTACCTTATTTTTTGCAAGGGATTCTTGAAATTTGATTACATTAGAACAAGAAATTTCATTTTATAGTGTTTTTTGCAAGGGAAAGCGGGGGGGAACAAAACAACCGGATCTTGATCACATCGAATTACCTGAGGCTTCCTCACGAAAATGATGAAAATGTAGCTGCGGCCTAGGCGCGGCGGGGGGGGCGTGCACCAGGGGGCCCAACAATAATTATTCTTTAGAATTAATAATGTTCAACAACAACAACAACAACAACAACAACAATCATTCCAAGACTTCCCGCTCCTACCAGCCCGCGTGTCATTCACTATGCATATCCCAAACCCTGGATACTCGCCCTCTTCGTCTTCGATCGTGCCCCCTTTTGGGGGTTATATTCCTTCCTGGCCACGTGTGATTGGAGGAGCCCCTAAACAGGGAAACGAAAAGGAAAAAACAAAGAGAGGACGAAGGGATCGGAGGAAGGGAAGGATTAGAGGGGCAAGAGGGAGGGACGACGATGATTTGTGCCGTGAGTTGCGATTCAGCTTTCGCCATGGCTTGCGCCAGCCGTTCCAACACAGGTTAACGAAGGCTTCGCCATGGGTCGCGCCATAAACAGCGCCATGTAACACCTCTGGTGCTGCTCGGCGAGGTGTTGGAGGCGAGGGAAAGGGAATCGGAAGGAGGGGGGAGGCGGCCCGGGAGGAGGGAGGAGCAGGAAGGTAAGAGTGCGAACGTTTGAAGAAGTCCTAGGCGAAAGCGCCATTCCACAAGGAAGTCTCGGGCGGCAGCCCACGACGGGCAAGCGATCCTCTGACGGGCGGGTCGGGCGGGTGGGACATTCAAGCGGGATGCCGGAGTAGGTCGAGGGCGCGATTCCTAAGTGAAGTGTGACGGCGTCCTTGGCGCGAGCGTGGTGCCTGAGCGTAGATAGCGCGATTTATGAATACACTGCGAAAAAAACACAGGCGAGAACGCAATTCCTGAAAAGAGGATGTCTGGCGGGAGCGGGGGTCTAGACTAAAGCGCAAGGAAATCTTAAGCGGGAGCGCAGTTCTTGGGTAAATTGTGAGGAAGCCTCAGACGGGAGGGGGGGTACTGACTAAATTGCGAGGAAGTCACAGGCGGGAGCGCCGATCCAGAGTAAATTGGGAGGAAGTCTCATGCGAGAGCGGTGGTCCTGAGCAAAGTTGGAGGAAGTCTCAGGCGGGAGCCGTTGTTGTTGTAGTCCGGGGGAACAACCATGCAATTTGACCCGGATTGAATTGCGAGGAAGTCTCAAGCGGGAGCGCCGATCCAGAGTAAATTGGGAGGAAGTCTCAGACGGGAGGGGGGTGGGTCCGGAGTAAATTTGGAGGAAGTCTCAGGCGGGAGCCGTTGTTGTTGTAGTCCGGGGGGGCCAGGGGCACAGTTTGACCAGGAAGATTTTCCCCATCAACTAACAGGGTGCGAGCGTCGAGGGGCACACTTTGACTTTGAAAAAACAATAGGCACGGGTGAGTGGGGATGAACAATCATTATTCTTCAGAAATGAGACTTTAACAGCAATCACTTTAAAACTGTTCGCTCTTATCTGCGCGCGTGCCATTCAACACGTATACCCCAAACCCTCGATACCCGCCCCCTTCGTCTTCGATCGTACGCCCTTGGGGGTACATCTTTCGTACCTGCAACCTGTACTTCGTGCAACCCCAACGGCAGGGGAACAGAGGACGGATGGAAGAAAGGGACGAGGGGGAGGGATGAGGATGGAGCGCGAGAGAGAGAGAGAAAGAGAGAGAGTAGCAGGAGGGGGGCTAGGAGCAGAAAACACGTGGCATAAACAGACTGGCATATCGGGCGGGTAGACCCTGACGGGTGGGTCGAAAAAGGCGAACCCAGGCGGCCAGGTCGAGCACGCTTGTTGCTGAAGCGTGGGTCCTGCATGAATCGCGAAGTTTCCAGCGATGGCGCGATTCCCACTCAAATCGTGAGATGGGCCAAAACGATAGCATGATTCCTGAATGTCGAAGGCGCGGCGTCTGAACACATTGCGATGAAGTCCCACGCGACAGCGTGATGTCTGCATAAATTGTGAGGGTGTCCCGCGCGAGAGTCCGATGTGGGAATACATTGTGAAGAAGTATCGATCGAGAACCGTTGTTGTTCTAAGTCGGGGGCCAGGGCCTACTTCTGAGACCCAGTATTTGTCCTGCCAAAAATATACGGTGCGAGCCACGGGAACGGCACTTCAATTGAAAAACAGTGTGTCCTGGATGAAGGGACCAACAATGATTATTCGTCAACAGTGAGAACTCAGCAACAACAACAACGACGACGGCTCCCGACTGGTACTTCCTCACAGTTTATTCCAAACTAACGATCTCGCGGGGAATTCCCTCACACGTTATGCACGAATCGCGCTGTCGCGTGGGACCTCCTCGTAATTCATTCGGATGCTGCGCCCTCGACACTCAGGAATCACGCTCTCGCTTTGCCCTTTTGCACGATCTACTTGGGAATCGCGCTATCGTTCGAACTTTCGTCGTGATTCATGCAGGACGCACGCTTCAGCAATACGCCTTCTCGACCTGGCCGCCTTGGCCCGCCTCCCGGACCCGCCCGTCAGGGTCTACCCGCCCGATCTGCCCGTCTGGTTCTGCCACGTGGTTTCTGCTCCTAGCCCCCTTCCTGCCGATCCCGTGCTGCATCCTTTCCCTCTCCCTCCAATCCATCCTCTCTTCCCCTGTTTCGGGGCCTGCGCCAATTACACGCGGCAGATAAGGAAGATATGCCCCAAGAGGGGGTCCGACCGAGGACGAAGAGGGCGGGTACCCACGGCTTGGGATATACGTGCTGAAGGGCACGCGAGCAGGCAAGAGCGAACACTCCTAAAACGATTGTTGTTGTTGCTGCTGTTGTTGCTGTTGCTGTTGCTGCTGCAGCGGATGTGGCTGTTGTCGGCATGTTTGAATTATCTCATATAAAATATGTTTGTGCATAACCCCTGCCCGGTAACTATAACATGCTTCAATGCACGTGCTTCTCCCGAGGCTCGCACCTTGTTCTCATATAGCGTAAAAAAGAACTCTCACCAACTGGGCTGCTGGCCCCCGGTTTACAACAACAATAACAGCTCCCGCCCGATACGTCCTCACAATGTATTCCCAAATCGCGCTCTCGCGCGGGATGTCCTCACAATCTTTACAGGAACCGTGCTCTGGCGTGGGACTTCCTCGCAACTTATTCAGACGCTGCGCCCTCGACACTCAGGAATCACGCTCTCGCTGTGGATGTCCTCGCGATGTACTTAAATCGCGCTATCGCTTGAGCTTCCCTCGCGATTCACGCAGGACGCACGCTTCAACAACCCGCTCGACCTGGCCGCCGTGGCCCGCCTTCCCGACCCGCCCGCTGGGGTCTACCCGCCCGCTCTGCCCGCCTGGTTCTGCCACGTGTTTTCTGCTCCCAGCCCCCCCTCCTGCTACTATCTCTCGTGCTCCATCCTCCTCCTTCCGCCTTGTCCTTTCCTTCCATCCACCCTCTCTTCCCCTACCCTAGTGGCTGCACGTAAATTCACGTGGCTGCTAAGAAAATATAACCCCAACGGGGGGCGATCGAAGACTAAGATGGCGTGTATCGAAGCTTGGAGATATTCGTATTGACTGGCACGCGAGCAAATAACAGCGACCAGTCTTGAAATGATTGTTATTGTTGTTGGTGGTGGTGCTGGTGGTGGTGTTGCTGCTGCTGCTGTTGCTTGTTGGTTGTTGGTTGCTTCTGCTGCTGGTGATGTCGTTGCTGATGACTTCCCACTTCTACATAATAGTTGCTGGTGCTAGCCCTGCGCGGTACCCATTGTATTTGTTGAATTAAAATGCTTCTCCTTGGGCTCGCACCCGTTTTTTTAACAAGGGAAGGTGAAGTGTCACCAAACTGTGCCCATGGCCCTCGGCTTACAACAACAACAACAACAACAACAATCATTTTACCCGAACGCTCAGTGTTCTCACCAGTGCCAGGGTTTTCATGCGACGCGAGACAATACCCCCACTTCGTGGGGGGGCAGTTCAAGCTCTACCAAATATCCAAACGACTCTTCGCGACCACCCAAACCCAGCTTCCCGCCCTATGACGTTGGGACACTTCACTTCGTGGCGTGCGGACGACCGTGGCTACTACACTGGCGTGGGGTACACACCCACAGAACTTGGTCACTTATTCGGGGCGCGCGTGTGCCCAGCATCCTGCAATTGTGACATACAATACATGACACAGACAGACAGAGAGAGAGACAGAGAGCAGACAGAGAGAGAGACAGAGAGAGCGGAGTTGGTCACATTTTTGGGGCAAGTTCCTGAGATCGTCGTGTTTTTTGTTGGTCTTGCGCGCGCGAATGTCCACTTTACTTTTTTTTGCAAGGGAGTATTGAAATTTGATTATGTTAGAACAAGAAAAAGTAGCTCGCGCGAGCTCATGTAACATAAATGTTGAAAAACCATTGGTTTTGTGGGAGTCGGACAGCGCGCGCGGGATGAAATTTGGACATTTTTTTTTGAAAAACCATTGGGTTTTTGATGTTTTTATGTTGAAATCGTTACGAAACCTAAGGTTCTGGAAGGATTTCGTCTTGCGCGCGCGAATGTCCACTTTACCTTATTTTTTGCAAGGGATTATTGAAATTTGATTATGTTAGAACAAGAAAAAGTAGCTCGCGCGAGCTCATGTAACGTAAATGTTGAAAAACCATTGGTTTTGTGGGATTCGGACAGCGCGCGCGGAAGGACATTTTGACAATTTTTTCTTAAAAAACCATTGGGTTTTTGATGTTTTTATGTTAAAATCGCTACGAAACCTAAGGTTTTGGAAGGATTTCGTCTTGCGCGCACGAATGTCCACTTTACCTTATTTTTTGCAAGGGATTCTTGCAATTTGATCAAGTAAGAACAAGAATTTTCATTTTATAGTGTTTTTTGCAAGGGAAAACGGATTACAACAAAACAACCGGATCCGGACACAATCCACTTTTCTGAAGCTTTCGCTAGAAAATGAAGGAAATGAGGCTGCGGCCTAGGTTTTGGAGGGGGGTCGCGCACCAGGGGTCTCAACAATAATATTTCTTTAGAAGTAATAATGTTCAACAACAACAACAACAACAACAACGGCTCCCGCCGGATACTCCCTCGCAAAGTATTCCCAAATGGCGCCAGTCGCGGGGAACTCCCTCACAGGTTATGCACGAATCGCGCTCTCGCGTGGGACTTCCTCGCAACTTATTCCGACGCCGCGCCCTCGACACTCAGGGGGAATCGCGCTCTCGCTGCGGATTTCCTCCAGAATGATCTGGGAGTCGCGCTATCGTTCGAGACTTCTTCGCGATTCGTGCAGAACGCACGCTTCAGCAACATGCCTGCTCCTCAGGAGGAGGAGGAGGAGGAGGAGGGAAGAGGAGGAGGAGGGAAGAGGAGGAGAGGAGGAGGAGGAGGAGGAGGAGGGAGGAGAAGGATGACAAATCGGAGGAGGAGGAGGAGGAGGAGGAGGAGGAGGACGTGCAGAACGCACGCTTCAGCAACCCGCTCGACCTGGCCGACTGGGCCCGCCTTCCCGACCCGCCCACCGGGGCCTACCCGCCCGATGGGCCCGTCTGGTTCTGCCACGTGTCTTCTGTTCGGAGGAGGAGGAGGAGGAGGAGGAGGAGGAGGAGAGAGGAGGAGGAGGAGGAGGGGGGAGGAGGAGGAGGAGGAGGAGGAGGAGGAGGAGGAGGAGGAGGAGGAGGAGGAGGAGGATTCTCTCTCTCTCTCTCTCGTGCCCCATGCTCCTCCCTCCCCTTGGTCCCTTCTTTACATCTGTCCTCTCGGCCCCTGCCTTGAGGGCTGCACGAAATACACGTTGCAAATAAAAAAGATACACACCTGAGAGGGGCACGATCGAAGACGAACAGAACGGGTATCGAGGGTTTTTCGGGATATAGGTGTTGAGTGGCACGCGAGCAGATAGGAGCGAACAGTCTTAAAATGATTGTTGAATTCTCATTTCTAAGCAACGATCAGTGTTGATCCCCCCCTGCGCGTTAACCATTGCATGTTTCAATTAAGCTGCTGCTCCCGGGGCTCGCACCCTGCTTTTCTACAGTGGAAAATGAGGTGACACCAAATTCGGCCCCTGGTCCCCGAGTTACAACAACAACGGCTCACGCCTGATACTTCCTCACGACTTATTACGAGATCGCGCTCATCACAGGTCATACGAGAATCGCGCTCTCGCGGAGCTTTCCTCGCAACTTATGCAGGCGCCATCGGCACTTGTGAATCGCGCTCTTGCTGTGGCCTTTCTCACGATCTACTTGGGAATCGCGCTATCGATCGAACTGTCCTCGCGATTCATGCAGTATTCACGCTTCAGCAACATGCCTGCTCGACCTGGCCGATTGGGCCCGCCTCC